CACTCCAAATAGCTCCTAGGGTTTGTTCTTCGCACTTTCTCTCTCTAAAACTCTGTTTTTGCTCCAAAAAGTCGATTCTCTCTCCTTTGGCTCGAATCTTCCTCAAAAACCCGATTCTGGACGAAATACGGGCTAAATTACGGTCGTAAACAATGTCTACCCGTAATTCGCCCAAAACGCGCGTTTCACTTAACACTGATGAGAGGAATTACGGTTGTAATTACCCAATTACTGCCAGTATTTGAGGAATTACGACCGTAGTTGCTTTGACTCTTGCCCGTAATTTGCTCTACGATAGGAATTCTCAAGAATTTGGCTCGGCATTGCATTTACGGGCATGACAGAAGCACGCCCGTAAATGGGCAGGGGCAGCCCGTAATTTGCATCTTGAATCGCCAATTGACCTCCAAATGACCTGAAACTTGCACCTATGCACCTCTTTACTTGCTAGGACCTGAAATACGACAAAACAACACAACCTAGCGTAAAATAGGCCAAGGAACAGCAAATTCGAGCTAAAATGGTCAGGAAACAAGAATGAAAACATGTGCAAATACGACGATGTCATTGGGCTAGAATTGAACTAACCTAACTACATAAACACAACCAACCATGTGGTTGGGAGATCTCTAGAAGAGGACCACGCGAGCATTTATGAGGATTTCAGACGACCATGGATCCGAGTAAGGGATGTTTGAGACTTTTAGTTATTTGTCTTATGATTTGAGTAATGACTAGACATATGTTGAACACAATGTTATTCTTATCTTTCAAATTCTTAGATATGCTCCGGATCAAAACTATTATTTAAAGGTTTTAGAGGCTAGTGTGTTATAAAGGACATCAGAGGTGCAGAGATTTACATTCAAACACCAAGTTCTGACTCGGAGGAGTCCATCACCAAATGTCAATCCGAGAGTTCACAAGAGCATAAGATATCTATCTAGCAGATTTTGTGGACTCCGAAAGTGACTTTGCCGCCTTGGAAGAGAGAGCGACAATTCGTGCTTCAAGGAATTATATGAAACTGAAGTCAAGGTGTCCGACAAAAGGCAATGGGACGTCAAGATATCCAAGGAAATCAAAGTGAAGCTCGAATAGAGGTTGATCCACCATCTGCTCACAAGATCTATGGGTGGAAAGTTCAAAAGCAAGGGAAGCTTGATAGTCCGAGATGTCACCTTCATTTATAGTAAATACAACCTCCAACCCCTTCACCTTGGTCTTGCCATCCTTTACACGTTGAAGTGGTATGAGAAGGATCATTGCCTAGTTGCATTGCATGTAGGAGCCTATATCACCCGTATTGCTCGAATTTCGGAATCGACTTCTAGGATGTCAAGTTTAGAATGGATTCTAAGATAGTCTCCATCTCTTTTGACAGGCTGAAGTCGCACAGCAAGGTGATACAACTAAGTGAGGATGATATTTGGGGAGTCCAAGGCCGACCATTTCCCGACACCAACACTTTGGTATTGGATGGTGTGGTGCTCCGCCTCGCCGTGGAGACTTCTCGACATGCGACAATAGAAGCAACAATCATGGATTATGATGATAGTGAAGAAGGCGACTTGCAAGAGTGATTCGGGTTAGATTGCACACTTTTATACCCCTTGCCTTGCACCATTGGTCCTGGTTTGCACCATCCTTGAGCTATTTTACGCTAGGTTTTACAGGTGTCGTGTCATGTTTCAGATCTTAGCACCGGGATCGAAAGTTGGACAAAAGAGGGTGAAAAGGGAGAAAAATGGACAAAAGTGCAAAAATCACGATTTTGATGCTATCATCACGGGCGGCAGACCGTGAAATGGACAAGCAAACCGTGAAGTCTGCACACTTCCAAGAGGTTTCGAAGATTAGAAAAATTAGCCTTTGACTAGTCAAAAAGACTTATCTCTCTTCTATAGTCTCAGTGATAGACTGTTAGCAAAAAAAGACGGCAATGAAGGGAAATTACCAGTATATCCCTATTTATAACCTTTATTATCACAATAGACTTTTTTGGTTGTTTGATGCAACTTAATGGACATATATAAATAGAATTTTGTAGTGGTTTTATATCTTATTCTTTCTCATCTTATATTAATGAACTTAATTGTTTCTCAACATATATGAATGGGGTTTATTGTATTCCATAAAAAACTGCACTCGGGAACATCCATTGCTAACTAGGATTTAGTCACCAAACTAATCATAAGTTTTTTAACAACTGAACTAACAATCTGCACATTTCCTATCAACCCTTTCATTGAGTTTTACCTACTCGACTAAAACAACACCTTCACTTTTAATCTGCATACATAATACATTCAACCCCTCTTTGCTTCCCACACACAACCTGATATCTTTCTCTCTACACCAAGCTTGTCAATGAGATCCATAGTGATCCTTAGCTACAATAGCATGGCTTTTTCCTTAAATTTCTTCACATTTTATTTCTTTTTCCCTCCATCTTTAAAACATACAAAAATTGAAAAGCTAGTTAAACTTTCCTAATTGTACCTTTATTCAACAGAACCATTAAGATAGTTGAATCATTCCTAACTACAACTATCATGATCAAAAGCCAAGTCCAACCTCTAACCGGGTGTAGATAGAGCATGTATTTTGAATATTAACAAGAGCAACTTATCATCATTACTTCAATGAACTACACGTTATGTATAAATCCTATTGTTGTTTCAAATACTAAGACTAAACGACGCAAAAGTAAATGAAACTGAATTTCACTCGGATGTGTCCCCCCCCCCCCCCCACAAGTCTATGTTGAATTGACGGTGTGACACCTTATAATGATTCACACTTAGCATATACCGTGGGGAGCTCTAAGCTAGATGGGACTCCCTATTCTAGATATATCTTATCCCGCTCAACTACACTATCCGAAGAGGTGTACCTACAACCAACTTAGGTAAGTGAGGCAAGCACAACTGGGTAAAACCCTATGTCATAAAGGATATAATCACACTCGTTCATAGACCCCAAGTGTTGAATTGTCAAGCTCTAAATTATCCCTATGGAGATACCCTCTCACCTAGGTCAATTAGCCCCAAATTGAGGGAAGTGATTAAGAACCTTCAATTTCCATGAATAACTAAGGTTCTATGATACCCAAGTGAATTGGAGGACTACTCGATAGCTAGATAAAGAAAAACAACCAAAATGGAGAAGACAATCATTATGATGATAAGAACTTGCTCCTTGGCTGCTTTTGGTGCTCTTGAATCTTGATGATGAAATCAAGCCTTCGATGGTGGTGGGAAGCTCCAATTCTCCTCCAAGCTCTCTATGTTTGTCACTCTCTCTAGAATGAAAAAAAAACTTCGATTTCTCTCTCCAAAACCAACTCTCCCTTCAAATCTTATTTCTCCTCTCTTTTATATCGAGCATGCAAAGTTCACGGTTTCCCGTCACGACCGTGAACTTTGCATAAAAATTGTGATGTATACTTGATGTGCTCTGTTTAAATAACGAAGTTCACGGTCTGGGTGAAATCTTCAAGGTCTAAGACTGAAGATTGCAACTGCCTGCGAGACCTCATATTCCTCATGTGTCCTCTGCGAAGTTAACGCTTTGGCTGCATATTTCACGCCCTATAAGTGATCTTAGATTGTTTTCACCATTTGGTCCTTTTTTGACTCCCTTTTGTCCGACTTTTGTTCCTTTCTCCAATTTCACCTGCCAGGACTTAGAAGATACTCAAACTTGCAAAAACCTAACGTAAAATGACTCCAAGGACAATGCAACACAAGTCAAACAGCAAAAAGAAAGGGATCGACACGAATCAGTAGTGTATATTCAAACCATACGTCTTGTTAACAAAAACATATATGGCGAAGTCTCCAGTTGATCATATCTTCTCGACGTGTTGATCAACATTGAAGGAGGTAACAATTTCTTTTTTTTTTTTTTTTGGGTAGAAGGTAACAATTTCTAAAATTGTAAAACTTTGAGTAAAAGAGAGTATGTGCAAACTTTAATAAATTCAATAAGCGACCTTTCATTTGAATGGACCTTTTAGAAAATAACCTAACTTTTATTCTCAAATCTCCTGCAATAACTCTGTTTATTGAACAAATTTATCTTGAATAAAATTTTCCCTTTTCACTATTTTGAAAGAGAAAAAATTAACTTCTGGTTAAAGATTGGTTATTGTTACTCTAATTAAATAAACCGTAGGTAATCAAAATAAATAAATAAATTAACCGTTAGAATAGAAGTGCATGTTCGACATGTGTATGTCGTCGACAAAATAAATATGGTTAAGCTTCTGTCTTACCATATCTTCTACACACTGTCATTAAAATGTTAGAATGATACATCATTGAATAATAATAAAACATAACTCAAATTGAAAACTTCAAATCATAATGATACAAGATTTATTTATGAATTTATTTAACCATTCGAGTTATTATGGCAAACTAATCTTCATTACATCTCTCTTTTCTATTTTTCAAAACAATGAATTTTAAATATCTAGTAAAAAATTCATGATTGTAACTAGGGGCAGAGGGAGAGGGTAACAGGATCGGTCCCATTACCACCATAACTCGGGAGAAAAATGGTTAAATTAGGTATAATAGTTAATTGATACTGAAATTAGAGCACGTCTAATTGATAATAGTTGATCGAATGGTTTTGTGTTCGAATCTTGGCGACCTCATTTGGTAAGCACATAGTATTCAGATTTGTGCAAACTTCAATTACATATAAGTAGACTTTATTATAAAAGGGTGTGCTAGTAAATGGTACAAGATATATTACTGAAAATCACCCAATAACTCTAGTTATTGATACTACAGTTCTTGACAAAGAACAAAATTCGAAAGCGAGCGAATAACTTAATCGTGAATAATTGTTTGGTATAAAGCTCATTATGAATAATAGTTTGGTAGACTGAGAGTGATATTCTTGATAGTTTTGACACTACCAATTTATTTCAATTTATAAAAAAATTAAATATAAAATTATATTATGAATAATTAAAAAAAGTTAAGATAAATTATTTTATCATGTTTTTCTAAGTGGATCCACTCTAGATTATAACTTAAATTAACAGAACCGTTAAACTAGTGCATGTTCCGCAGGTGTAAGTCTACTTTGTACCATATCTTCTACGCACCTTGATTATGGTAGTTGGAGGTTACAATTTGCTAAAGCCTAAAAGTCATTATCTTTGAACATTGACGGTCATGGAAGGGAAGATTGGATTTGTTCTCTCTTTCTCGTGACTGTTATAAATGGAGAAGGAGAGTTTGCATGAAGTTATTGGGAAAGGAAAGGAGAGGCCCCCACAGAGTATTGAGTGCTCAACTCCAAATACAGACAAAAGAGAGTTGCTTGCTGCAGTCATTGCTGTAACGTTCGAAGAGGCAACAGCCACAGCCAGCCAGCCAGCTCAAAGGTGAAATGAAAATGAACAAGGAATAGCCATTGTAGATTTGTTTTCCCTCTGCAAACGTCTTCTTCATTCTCTCCCTCTCCCTCTTTTATTTTGGCTGGTCCTTTTTAGAGAAATCTCTGGTTTCCTCTCGTCATCTCTCTCAGCCATTTCTAAACAAACAAACTGCTTTGGCTCATTGGTGCTTTGCTTTCGTCATTGTTTTTTTTCCCCTCCAGAAAGAAACAGAGAACAAGTGAAAGCTAAGAAAAGAATGCTGTCCGAGCTGAATGGGAGTCCCTGGATGGATGACAACACTAACAGGGAGCACCAGCAAAACACTTCAACTACATCACTCAACACTACAAACAACAGCAACTTAATTATTGAAAGCAGCAGCTGTGAATTGATGATGGAGACAAAAGAAGAGATGGGTTTCAAATCCATGCTTGAAGTAGCCGAAGAGGACTGGTACGTTGTGGGTAACAACAGCCACAACAACAACAACCACAGCAACGTCGTCAAGGAAATGAGTTTTTCCACAGATGGGTTATTGCTTCACCACCACCACAACCAAGTCGATTCCTCGTCGTCTTGCTCACCTTCCTCCTCGGTTTTCAACAACATGGACCCTTCTCAGGTACCCTACTTTATGCAACCCATCAACAAGCAGCAGCCACCCCACCAGTCTTCCTTATCTTCCTTGCTAGCCAATGTAGTCTCCAACAATAACAACAACCCTTTAGAACATGGGTTCGATTTGGGGGAGATTGGGTTTCTCGACAATCAAGTTGCTACAGCAACTGGCAACTTTCTGAACAGGGGGAGTGGTGGGTTGTTGTTGGGGAATTGTGCTGATTTTGGCTCGATGAATAACCAGATGGGTGGTGCTGCTCACAATTTGCCCCAATTTGGGAGCAGTCCTCATCAAATGCTTCAATTGCCTGAAACAGGGTTTAGAGGGTTTGATGAGGGGAATGGGAAGACTGGGCTGATTTTGAATAGGTCTAAGCTGTTGAGGCCACTAGAGAGTTATCCTTCAGTGGGTGCACAACCGACGTTGTTTCAGAAAAGGGCTGCCTTGAGAAAGAATTTGAGCGGTGGTGATGCAGGGAATCTGGGAATTTTGGGGGGTGTGACTGAGAGGGATAAAGGGAAGCAGGAAATGATTCAATCTAGTGATGAAGATAATAATGAGAAGAACAAGAGGATGATGTTGAGCTCAAATGGTGGTGATTCCTTTCTGGATGACTTGAGCATTGATGGATCAGTAGGGTTGAATTATGACTCAGATGAGTTCACTGAGAACAGCACTAAGTTGGATGAAATTTGCAAAGCGGGCGGTGGAGGGCTGAGCTCCAATGCTAACAGTGGTGTCACCGGTGGAGGTGGTGGTGCTCCGGATCAGAAGGGGAAGAAGAAGGGGCTTCCTGCTAAGAATTTGATGGCCGAAAGAAGGCGCAGGAAGAAGCTCAATGACAGGCTTTACATGCTGAGGTCTGTTGTTCCAAAAATCAGCAAAGTAAGCAACTTTCATTTCTTTTACCATCTTTTCTCATAATTTCCCAGTGGTTTCTATCAGTGCTTTACTTTATTTTTACTGCTAACTATGTTGTTCTTATTAAAAAGAAAATGAAAACATGATTGGGATTACATTGATTCACAGAGTTCTGTATTGTTGGTGCTTGAGATTTTGGGTTGGTCTCTTGTGTCTGAAATGTATGTGGTACAGAAGAGAATGGCATTCATTCCTGTCACATGATTTTTGCCTTCACTCACCCCCAACTGTTTTGGGCCAATCAAATTGAGGGATAATTATTGTTTGCTTTTAGTATTCAAAGGTGTTAGGGATATTCATGATTGATTCCTCCTTTCCATGGTTTTTAGAGCCTTGTAAACTTAAATGACTATGTGTTCCATTTCAATTGTCTGCCTCTTCTAGCTCTTCATGTTCCTCAACCACCCTTCTCCTTCTAGGAAAGAAAACCGTTTTGAGATTGGAGTACTGAATTCATTCTCTGTACTCTCCACTCATCTCTGTGTGCGTTTTTGTACCATTTGCAGCTTTTTCAGACAAAAGAGTACGTACTAACTAGAGCCTTCTTCCTCTCGTGCTTACTGCCAGCCATGGTGCTGCAACTTTCATGCATTTAATATCTACTGTCCTCTTCTGAACAGGGCATTCACTAACATAAGCTTTAATTTCTCATGTACCAAGAGAACCTTTTTTTATTATTATATTAAGCATAAGCATGACTTTAAATATGGATGGTTTGACTTTCAATATGTTTTAAGTCCGATTTACATGCTTCCTCTCTCCAAAGTTTTCTTCTAATGGTAGTTGTAGATTATCAGTTGTGGGTGGAAGTTGGTAATTTTGTGGGTCTGGTAGGATTCGAAGCTAAATTGATGGCAAATGTATGCGAACAGATGGACAGAGCTTCAATCCTTGGGGATGCAATTGAGTATCTGAAGGAGCTTCTGCAGAGGATCAGTGACCTTCACAATGAACTGGAATTAACTCCTCCAGGGTCTTCTTCCTTGACACCAACAGCCACAACTCCATTTCATCCACTGACTCCGACCCCGTCAGCCCTCTCAGGCCACATTAAAGACAAACTCTGCCCGAGTCCGAATGGTCAACCTGCAAGGGTCTGTAGTACATCTCGTGAGCTCTCCTTCCCCAGCGGCGAACTTTGAATGACAATGTGTTTCTTTGGTGTTGTAGGTTGAAGTGAGAGTGAGAGAAGGGAGAGCTGTGAACATCCACATGTTTTGTGGGCGGAGGCCGGGACTTTTGCTGTCGACCATGAAGGCCATGGACAACCTTGGGCTGGACATCCAGCAAGCTGTCATTAGCTGCTTCAACGGCTTTGCCATGGACATCTTCCGGGCCGAGGTATATCTGCTAAAACTAAACAACCTCAACCGTCTTCTCAACAAAGCAGCACATATTTTGTGTTGACTTTGTGCGTTGATATGTTTGTTTTGCAGCAATGCAAAGAAGGTGAGGACGTGCATCCAGAGCAGATCAAAGCCGTTCTTCTCGATTCGGCTGGGTTTCATGGGATGATTTAACCTTGAAGCTGAGTTCGGAGTAGTCGGTGTTCAACCTTAAATTTGGTTCCAGTTAACAAGAAAGCAAAAGAAGAATAGCCGTTAGTTTCCTGTTGCACCTGTTAGATGGAGTAGAATTAGGCAGTTCGGCTTTCGAGGGGTATGGTAATCAGCGTATATGGGATCAAAAGAGTCAAAATTTTATGGTTTTAGGAAGTATGGGATTCAGAGATTCGTTTCGAAAGTCTCTCGAGCGTTACTTAAGCTTTTGTTTTGAAAATTTTCCCTCTTCATATAATCCTGACCGCAGAGTGGCATACAATTAATCATGCCCAGTTACTCGGCAAGCTCTTTTTCTTCCACGGCGAAATACACTTGTATAGCCAAAACTATCACGCTTGTGCCACTAATAGCCACTTCCGTCCAATTCTTTAACGGTGTCAGTTAATAAGCTGACTGGACAAACGGAAAAGCTAAGTTGGCAAGTTTCTCTATTAACATATTTGTGTTAGATTAATTATAAAAAATAAAAGTAAAAATTAAAAAGAAACTGAAAATTCTCCACCCATCACTCCCTTTTCACTTTCCCCTTCTCTCTCTTCGCTTCTCTGTCGTCCGCCACACAACCCTAATTTTCCAAACCACCACCACCGCCGACTCCCCCACCCCGACACTGCTTCCTTCTTCACTCTAGCTCGGGGTTGCCCAGCCGCAATACCCTCCTCTCCGACAAGAACTCCATCGTCCCCGTCCCCAGCCTCCTCCCCTTCTCCTCCGCCAGCAGCGGCAACCCTCCCCCACCTCACCACAACCATCGCCGCCAACGAACCCTAGGCAAGGGGTAAGAATCATCCTCCTCCTTCGATGGCGACGGAGACTCCGCCAAGTTCGTGCGCAATGACGGGATCGGCTTATTTGTGTTGCTGCTTGACGACGTCTTAAAATCCCCCATTCCAAATAGCCCATCTCCAGAGCTGGAATGTCGCCGGAATAAAATCTAGCTATGGCGGAGACAGAGCTTGAATCTGAGTCGATAACCACCGCCACCATTGGATTTTCGAGACCCATCTTCCTCTCCGTCAAATCAAAAAATGAAAATCTCTTCCTACGACAGCGGATTCCTTGGTTCACAGAACATCGGCGAGTTCGGCTACGGAATCAGAGTCTCCATTGGCATCCTCCTTCTATTCACCATCATCACTCTCGCCTTGTACTTCTGTCGCAACACTATCACCCTTTGGTCGGTTCCACCCAGCGGAGATCCATGGCCGCTTCCACCTCAATGCGGCTCGCTACAGGGGTTGAGTGGGAGGAAGAAAAGGAAGAGGGGAAAGATTATGTATTTTTATCTTTTGTTACCCAATTAGTCCCCAATTAGTGAGAGTCCGTGTCACTATTTTCCTCAAGAATGGTAGAGGATTTTTAATTTATTTTTTTATTATATGATGTGTTATTATTTGTTTATGTGGCACTGACGTATACTATTTGCTTATGTGGCGCTGACGTGTTCGATGAGTTAGCGCCTTGTCAACAAACCGTCAAAAAATTGACGGTGTTAATAACACCGTCAAAGTATCTAACGGAAATGGCTATATTTGGCACAAATGTTTCAAAATTCTGGCTATAAGTGGTATTTCTCCAAATTTGGCTATAAGTGGCACAAACGTGAAAGTTTTAGCTATACAAGTGTATTTTGCCTTAAAAAAAAACAACTCTTTTTTTTTATGCTAAGTTACTCATCAAGCTTAGAAGCTGAAATTCAAGCGATGCAATGGCAATAAGTAGAAAGGGTAAAGATGCAATGGCAATAAGTAGTTAGGGTAAAGACGGAGCGGCTCCTTCTCTCTTCTCGAAAAACCTTTGATTTTCCTTCCCATAATTTTTAACGGACGATTTCTCACTCGTTTTAACTCGGAATTTAATTTTTTTTTTTTTTGCACAGTTAGATCAGATTAATTGTGCTCTTCAAAATGATATCAACTTTGATATTTTTTTGAACAAAAAAAATTTGTCAGTTATTATCAGTCTATACCATATGGTATTGATTGTACCATATGGTATTGACTGGTATTAAATAACAACATATCATATGGTATAAAAAATACCACCACATACCAGGGTGGTATAGTATGGTATGGAGTTGGTAACGAGAGGTATGAAATTTTTTCACCCAGAAAAATTTGAAATCCAATAGATCATGATTAAATCGTTACTTCTATGCAAAATTTTTTGAAAATAACTAAAACACGAAGGAGATACCATATGGTATGGAGTTGGTAACGAGTGGCATGAAAAAAAATTCTCAAAAAATATTGAAAATGGATATCATTTTGTAGAGCACAACAAATTCGTTCCATCTGTGCAAAAAAATTGCAATCCGAGTTAGAATGAAGAAAATATGATCAAATCAAGAAAACTAGGGAAAGTAAATTTCTTTAATTATCCACCCTTAGATCTGCAGCCACTTAAAAGAATGGTCCAAATTTGGTTACTCATAGTTATGCACCGTATCTTGAGCCGGTAAAGACGCCCCACCCCTACAAGGTACGAGGCCCCACACAGCTACTTAAATAAATGATGCAAAATTTCCCATGTCATCTTATCGGAGCAATTTATAAAAATAATCACTAAAATGAAATTGTTGACATATCTAGCCACCTACATGTATTTTATAGTGTAAACACCAACATATCAGGGACATAGCCAGAATTATGACTAATCGACCACTTTTGAACTACTCATTACTCAAATGCTAAGTCTAATTTAACTAATCTTACCCATCTACTTGATGAGGTTCGAGCCTTGATCAAACCAAGGTGATCAACAAGCACCTTGTGAAGTATCTACGGTTTTTTGCACATTAGCAACTTCATAATTGGTTGGCAATGTTGTCGTGTCCTCGTGGGCGAAGCTTTGGTATAACATCACCTACCATAGAGCGATTCGGATGACCCCGCTTGAGGTTCCCTATAGACGATCATTGTCGTTCCTGATATGGTAGTCTAGTACTAGTGCAGTTGATGCAATAGACAAGTGGCTCGACACGAGAGATGTCTCATTGGCCCAACTGCAGGCAAACTTGGTTGTCTCCAACAGTTGGACGAAGCAGTTAGCAAATTCTGGGCGTTGGGAGGATTTCCAAAGCGGTGATTGGGCTCTGCTACGATTACATCTGTACCGGTAGACTTTAGTATTCAGGTTGGCGTACCAAAAGCTGGCATCACGATTTTTTTTTATCTTACCAAGTAGTGGAGCGGATCGGAGCCATGGCTTATAAGTTGCAGCTACTTGCGACGGTGCGCATTCATCTGACATTCCATGTATCATCAATGTGCAAGTACCGCAGTGACACTACAACAAATCAGCCACCGGTGTCGCCCGTTAGTGAAGATGGTGGGCTCAACCAATCGGGGTACGGGAGACGAGGTGGGTTCACGTTGGCTCTCGCTGACTAAGGAGAGTCTGATTCTTTGGCATAACATGGGACCAAAGGATGTTACGTGGGAGGACATAGAGACCATAAGCCAGATAGATCCGTCTTTCGACCTTAAAGGCAAGGTCGGTCTCCCAAAAGAGGGGAATGTGAGAAACTCGACCATATAGGGTTCTTGCCCTTTTGGGGTGATTATACATTTTATTATTATTTTGTTGTAATTTGGGAACAATCCTATTTAAAAAGGGGAGAACTATTATTTTCAATTATTATGAAAAATGAACGTAAAAAATCCATAATTCCTTCATCTCTCTTCTCTCTCAATTCTTATGTGTTCTTCCCATATCCTTCTCAATCCCTAAACCTAACTCTTCTTCTCAATTTCCCCAATCCTCAATAATTCTTACAATCTGGCACATGATTTTCCAGACGGCGAAGTCGGCTTGACCTCCATCTCTGTGTAGACGAGAAGATTTGACAGCTTAACGTCGTCTTCTCCCTTTCTAATCTCGCCGACCTCCTGCTTCAACTGCGACATCCTCCTTGTCAACAAATCCAACCGGCGCACCGACTTCATCGTCCCCATCGACTCTAGCCAAATCGACTTCAATCTTACCTCCAAACTCTTCTGCGACAAACACCACATATACGGAATTCATCGTCTCATTGTCGATATCCCTTCATGTTCCCTCAACTTCCCAGTTCCAGATACTTCCTAGTGGCCTCTATCATCTCATACTCTCATCGATTTTGGTTGGTCGCATGTTTCTTTGGCGACTGAATGACTATTCAATATCTGAGCTTCTATTCTTATTTGGGGGGGGTGGGGGGGGACAAGTTGATCTAGCAAACAAATTCGATAGCATGTCGATCTCGGAAAGAAGAAGACGGAGAATGACGTCCCACCTTCGGCCATGGGGTTGGACTTGGCGCAAACAGGCTTGAGGGCATAGATCTGGAAGGTGCGGCGATGGCAGACCTTGTAGACATTGTTACTATCATCATATCCAAGGACATAGAGCTTATTGAAACTGGAGAAGAGGAAGGAGGAGGAAAGGGAATTGTCAAATTGGAGATAGATGGCGTAGACACTAAAGTAAAGCACTGTTAAGAAATGGTTTATGATAATAGACAAATAGCTAACATTATAAAACATTTGGTCAATTACTTGAATTTCTATAGATTTGCCTACTATTTTAAAATGCGATAAAGATTTGACTAATAAATTTTATTTAATCAAATATAATTATTTATAGCTACAAGCTGGTTGAACGAAGAGGAAAAAGGAAACTAACGAGAAAAGTCGCGTGTAAAACCTGAGCTAGCCTTCCCCTGCCCTCTAAATAAAAAACTGATGCAGCCCCTGTTCGTCCTTCTCTGTTTCCGGTGAGATCTCGATTCCTTATCTCTTTTCACCTTCGATTGAAGCAAACCCAACAGCGATCAAATTCATAAACTTCTGCCTCGCACGAAACTACACCACAAATTAATCCCGACTAGAGCCCAAGTTTTTAAACTCTAGTCGGGTGCAGTATAGAGGAGAGCGGATCCCATGACTAAGGGGGGTCCTTAGTCACTTGACTAAGCCACTCCTAGCCATTAGATCTGGACACTTCAATCCAATGGTTAAAAAGTGGGAATGGCTATTTAATTAATGACAGGGGTAGTTTGGGTATTATGGAAAATTACGAAGTATACAAACCGGATTTACAATCAGTACAAACCATACAAACATACGAACAGTACAAACTAGAGCGACAAAACATACAAACAGATTTATAAACATTACAAACGTATGAACTGTACAAACAATACAAACTAGATTGACAAACAATACAAACCATACAAAAAGAAAAAACAACCGGGTTGACTTTGGAGGCTCCATCCCTATATAGAGGGGCTCCTTCCCAAAGTCAACCCGGGTGTTTTTTAGACATACAAACAGTACGAACATGGTGGACAAAAATGACAAACTAGACCGACAATCCATACGAACAGGAAAAAACACCCGGGTTGACTTTGGAGGCTCCATCCCTATATAGAGGGGCTTCTTCCCAAAGTCAACCCGGGTGCTTTTTAGACATACAAACAGTACGAACATGGTGGACAAAAATGACAAACTAGACCGACAATCCATACGAACGGGAAAAAACACCCGGGTTGACTTTGGAGGCTCCATCCCTATATACAGAAGTTTCATCCAAAAGTCAACCAGGTTGTTTTTTAGACATAAAAAACATTACAAACATGGTTGACAAAAATGATAAACATGGTGCACAAAAATAATAAAGTTTACGAACATTACAAAATAACAAAGCGTACAAACATTACAAAATATGTCAACAAACATCACAAAATTGGCACTGTCGCCGGAAAATTCTTCTCCGTCCACGATGGTCGCCGAGAAAAAATTTTCCGACCAGAAAAATTCTCTCTCTCTCTCTAGGGAATAATGGCGCACAATACCTCTCAGGAAATTAACCATGGGAATAATGGCGCCCAGTTGCCAAGGAATTCCTCTGGCGGCGCAATTATCGGAACGGAGATGGGAGGCGACGGGGCGGGGACGGAGGGCGCTGGGTTTTTTTTTATTTCTTTTATAATTAAAAGTTAAAAATAAACATGCAATTACTACATTACCCTTCATTAAATTAGATTAATAGGAGCCCTTGGATTTTAATGAGGTGCAATGGTGGAGATTCACTTAGTCATTTGACTAAGGGGACCCCCCTAGTCATCAGATCTTAGCCCCAGTATAGAGAAAGTATTTAAATTGTCAACCCGGGCTGATCCATGTACCCTACTTCAATCGCTTATAACTAACGGAACTACAAACTAAACAAGCAAGGAAAAGTAAATAAAGGAAAAGTCTAACTAAGTGAGCTTCACCCAGGAGTTGCTTCCCCCTAACTAGCGTTGGATTGAATGAAGTCGTGTGGCGTAGGTGGTTGTGAACCGCGGGGGTGAGCCACTAGTGATCAATCTGTCACGGAATCAATTCACTAGAAATCGATTTGTCACGGGATCGATCCACTCACCAAGTCTAGGGGAACCGCTAGGAGGAGCAACTAGTGATCCATTTTTCACGGGATGGATTCGCTAGAGATCGATTTGTCAAGGGATCGATCCTCTCACCCAGTGTCTAGTGGTTGCCTAGGTCTCTCCCTCAAACCGGAGTTTGAGCGGCTTAATCACAGCCAACCTAGATGCAAACTGGTAACCGCGAACCGCATAGGGATGCAAATATGGTCGTAGACCACAATCTCGATTGCTAAACCGAGGTAAACATTATAGGTCGTGTCACTCGGCCCTCTCGATTTAGGTAATCGGTGGTGACTTAGTCCCTCACTCAACTCAAGGATCGGATGGCTTATTAACCAATTTACTTAATTCAACATTGAGGGTTGCCCTAAATTAACCTAGTTAAATGGCTTAAGAAGCTGAAGAAAAACCAACTCGATTAAGTCTCCCTTGGAAGGTGGATTTTCCTCTCTAAGCTAGGTTAAGGTGGCTAATTAGATTGCTAGCACCAACATGCACAAACCTAAGGATGCTAAGCACAATTATGCACAATTCTTAGGTTGCTAAGCACCAAAATGCACAAACCTTAGGATTTTATGCACAAAACATGCACAACCCTTAGATTGCTAAGCACAAACATGCACAATCAACATGAATAACACCTCAATCATTGAATTAAACAATACCCAATGACAATCATTCAATCTAAACAAGTAATTACAAAGTATTAGTTAGAGATCTACAACACCCAAGAGAAAAGAGTGAGTTTCTAGAGAGAGAGAGAGAGAGAGGGATTACAAATTTGAGCTCACTTCTTCTTCTTCTTCTTCTTCTAGGCTTGAATCTCCACCAAAGCCTCCAATGATGCTCCAAGATCACTCTAGCACTCTCTCTCTCTCTCTCTCTCTCTCTCACACACACACTAGAACTCCCCTTTTCGTGTTTTGGCCAAACCCTATAGAAAGAACCCAATTCTTCTCCAAAAACCAGCTCTCCTTTCTCTCTCCCCGCTGCTTTCTTCATATTTTCTCGAAAGTAACCAGTTCATGGACGCGTTGGCCAGTTCACGGCCGTGAACACCAAAACGCGTCCGTAAACTCAGCGTCGTCCGAAACGCACCGCTTCACTGTCCTGGGTTCACGGTCAATGGCCACAGTTCACGGTCTTAGAGACCGTGAACTGCCTTGTCGTCAGTAACTTCAGGAACCTCGCTGGACGCCTCGGTATTCACGGTTTGTGGTCGAAGTTCACGGTCTTAGGAGACCATGAACTGCCTCGTCTGGTCGTGAACTGCAGTTGTTTCCTGGGACGCCTTCACTTCACTATTACGAGGCAACTGTTCGGTTTTTGCGCTTTTTGACCTCCAAATATCTCAAAACTCGTCCTCGACCCTTCCACACGGGCTAGAACCTAAAATGTATCAAAACAAGCACAACCTAGCGTGAAATATGTCGAGAAACGATGAAATACTAAGCAAAACAAATAAAAATTAAAGGGTAAAATGTGTACATTTAGGCCTGAATCAACTTCCCATCCTTCCGCCCGATTCTCAGAACCTTCACCAATTAAAGGGGAGGAGACTCAGAGTAGGAAGGGATCAAGCAAGGAGTCGAAATTGTCCAGATATGTTTCAGTCAAGCAGGAAGTCGCCGGAAACCAGATTCCCACCGAGGTTTCACAACTGCCTTTGGAGAAAAAGTCATCACCGGTCGGACAAGAAGAAGGCGAACTCGCGCCCGTCGTTGCTATGCTCATCATTCTATTTGATTTTCTATTTGCTACTAATTGCTTTTGCTTCTCTCTTCCTCCGAACCTTTGTTTAGTTGTTTTGCAGATCTCCATACTTATGGTTCCCTGTTCAATAACTGAATTTATTTGCTAATTATCTGTTGTGAAAGTAAACCAACGTTTCAATCTCCTCAAGAAGGTGAAAGCAAAGAACAAACTCTCTTTCATCGACACTAGCGGCGAATCTAGAACATAGTAAAGCATTGGGCCGCATTTGAATATAATATTAGATGTCGTAAACAAAAATAGTTAACATTCCCAAATTTTAGTATTTCAAATGAGAAATTAGTTACAAAATTTCCAACGGTAACAGACAAATGACTAATATTTTGATGCATTACAAAAGATTTAGCTAATATTTTATATTTCGAAAGGTTTGTCTAATAATTTGGAAAGTCTGAAAGGTTTGGTTAATAAATTATATTTACCCAAAAATATATAATAATTATAACTTCATTAATTACAATGCCAATTATAATAGGAAGTTTTTAATTTGGCAAATCCCATCAATATTATGATCTCCATCCTTATCAATAGCATACTCTCTCTCAAATAAAATAGCTATGCAATCAATGAAAAATTCATCGCGCATTTTGTTGCGCAAATTAGTTTTCACATATTTCATTTCTTAAAATGTTATCTCCATGGTAGCCGCTATAAACGGCCAAGGTCAACACTAGACGAATAAAAAAATCACTTTGTTTAGAGGGTTTTCTTTTTCAATGAAACTTTATACGGTCTTTTACGTTTTAGACATTTAGGTTTTATTGTTTTTTTTTTCAAATGAAAATCATTCGGGCTAGAATTTCTATGCTAAATTGGGAATAGTTGTTTGCATATGTTTATCTAGACCGCTTTTCTAGCTACACAAAATTCTATTATCAAATAACACTCGACTGACTTTTAAATAGTACTAGGCCGAATATAAAAAATCGAAAAATCCGTAAGCACTATACTAGCTCTGGATCCGACAGAGGGCTGGCCCGTGGCCAGTTGGCTCCTCCTTCTCCAAGCTCGGATCCGATCGTCAGCCACTCTTATGCATCCTCTAGCTTCTTCCTCCGACATGCAGTCAGAGGCGGTGGTAATTGGATAAGCTATTATCAATATTTTTCATTCTTAAAGTGTTTTTCCCTACGTTTTATTGTAAAAAGTAAAATTTACTTGTATTTTTTTTAACAACATGTAAGAGTGGGTCGACCCGCCCCACCCCGTACCCGCATGGGTTTTACCCGACCTGTAATAGCGTGGAGCAGGATATGGAAATTGAGTTACCCGCCCCGCCCCATTGCCATCACTCATGGGCATAAAGTAGCGGTGACCTTATTTTTGTTTAGTGATGTGCCTGTTGGTGCCAACTGGGCCAAATTTTTTGGGCCTATTTAGTTTTTTCCTGCTTAATTGGCAAGGTCTAGTCTTCGCTATGTGTGTTTGTTTTGCAAGTGGGCTATGCACAGTAAGCAATGGAAGAGTGAGGATTGGGACGCGTGGCAGTACCAGTGGTCTAGCAGTGGTTAAGTGGGTTAATTGCACCCGATGGCACTTAAGTGCTAATAAGTTTCCGGTTGCAAAGTTCCAGTTCCGTCGACGGAAGTAACGGCAGGTACCAAATATGTAATTTGCTAGGACAAGCAGGCAGGACATGTCAACACAGCTTGCTGACTCATCCGAGCCTTTCTTTCCCGCTCATTTTTTCGCTTTTTCTGTGTTATCCCGCTCTTCCCTTCCTCTTAACTTCTGGAAACTCTCTGTCAAACCCGAAAATCTTCCCTTCTGTTGTTGTTATCCCTTTCTTTCCCCAAAACTTCCTCACCCGAAACTCTCCCCTTCTGCTGTTGTTATCCCTTTCTTTCCCCAAAATTTCCTCACCCGAAACACACCCTTCTCTCTTTACACCCTCTTCCTCCTTCCTCCAAGTCGACAATGGCGGCAACACCTCCAATGTGTCGGTGCGTTGTACCGGCGGTTCTTCGAACCTCGTGGACTGATGCCAACCCCGGAAGACGATTCTTCGGTTGCGCCAATTATCGGGTATGCTGATTAAATCTTCATTTCATTTTGGCGTGTACTGCATATGCTAAATCTTTCCCATATATAAACTATGGATCTGGTTCTTCTGTTGTTTGATTCGTAGGGTGTAAATGCTTGCAATTATTTCCGTTGGATCGATCCACCACTTGAAGATAACATTAAGCGCCTTGTTCTTGCATTGCACAAGAGAATCCGAGAGGTGGAGAGGAGGAACAATCACAACTCATTTGTTAGAGAAATGAGCAAAAGTTTTTTTTATTGTGGTTGGAACTCTATTGGCTAAGAGTGTGATTGATTACCTATTTGGGAACATGTAATGAGGTGGGAACCTGTTTAGGATGATTTATCAATTGGAAACCTATTTTGGATGATGTAATGAATTTGGAACATGTTTTGGATTATGTATTAAAGGAGCAATGTTTCAGACTGTAATGCCATGCTGGAAAGAGTCTGCAGATCTGCTAATGAAGGTAGAAAGCTTTAGAAGTTAAGAGAAGTGTTGTTTCCATCTTCAATTTGCAGGATATTTCGAAGGACAAAGCTAGGCTGCATTTAGCCTAGTTAGAGCAATAAAATAGATAAGGCGAATAAACCAGGGAGAATGTGTGTTCAATTTCCATTAGTGTATATGTTCATGAACACCAAAAATGTCCTGGAAACCAAACCACAAAAAAAAAACCAGCTGATAGTTATGTAACATAATCACCAAAAGCAGCTGACAATCATGTTTGTTTACTGTATGGTTCCACCCCATTTAACTACGAAACATATCACATCTGCCCTTTCCCTTTTGAAACAATAGGAAGTTTGTTTTGTCTTCACTCGCCTTGTGCAAAGCGCATTGTTTGTCCCTCAGATTGACTACTCTGTCGTGGTGGAAGACAAGTTGAATTGAAGCTTTGACTGCCTTGCTGGGATGGGAAAGAAGTAGTTTCAGCTTGACTTAAGAAATGCATTGGACGAGTTCGAGTGCTTCCCTACAAATCAATAGCAATTTGTAAGAGTTCTCACAGTATACAAGTTTTCAAATAATAATGGAATTTAGACATTAAGACCATACATCCGGCATCCACTGTAAAACAACACCAGATGATCCCATAGCTTGTGTGCTTCCCTACAAATCAGATACATAAACATGAGAAATTAAATTAATTTCAAGCAAACAACTATAAAAGTCTCACCTCTGTTGATGACCGTTGAGTTGATGCAGCACCTTCTGCTGAGTTTTCCCCCTTCTTCCCCTTTGTATGGAAGGACTTATTGTGCCCTGGCTGCTTACACTCACTACAATGAATGGTTCCCCCCTTCCCCTTCCTACTCATTCTTTCATTTTCAGCTTTAAACTTGCGTTTCTGTTTATCAGGACCAACTGTCTCCTCAATACCCTTTCTCCTTTTGGTTTGGCGCCTTCCTTTCTTTGACTCTTCTACAACTAGCTCTGGTGGCAACACAGGCTCCTTCCCACTTGGCAACCAAGATTCTTGCCCTACCATTGGTTCCACCTCACCAGAGTAAGCTGCAAGGTAAGTTCCAATCTCATAGCACTTGTCCACATCTCTTAGAGACTTGAATAACCTTTGCAGCCATGTCCATAATGTCTTTGTCACTTCTCAATTCTTGTAGCCCTTCCTTCAGTCGTTCTCCTGGTAGTCTCCAATAGTATGCCCAACCATTCTTCAGCCTATATTCCTCCATCATTCTGACACTTTCTGAGAAGCCAAACTCAACAAGATATCCATCCATTTCAAATAAAGATAAGCAATCTGGATCTATCCAGTCCAGATATTTAACTTCACCTCCAAAATAACACAAGTCTTCGTCGAGAACATACAACATCTCTCCTTTATAATGGAGCTCGATGGTAAACTTGTCATCACCGGTTCCTGCCAAAATCAACAAAAATAAACTTAGCAATCGGAAACCTGTCATTAGCTGACGAAAATTGCAGCAAAAACACACAACTCAACATATGTTGGGATCTGATCAGTATCTCCTACTTCCCTAATGGATGGACTCATCTTTGCAGCAGCAACACACAATACGCTCGGGATTGATATACAGGGTTATGGGATTCCCAACTGAGTTCTTTCCTATTCTATTTGTAATCCCTCAGATGGCCGGTGAAAGAGCGAATCTCGTCGCCAGAAACAGACAGGCTAGGGTAGGTGTTTGTTTCTAATGCATCAAGGCGACGACTGGCTGGGTCTAGTCTGTAGTTCACTGTCGAGAAAAGGTAAAACAGGGGAATGAATACGAGAAAAGGTAAAACAGGGGAATGAATAATAGCATGAAAGAACGATTGGTACCTGGAACGTCTTGCTAATATGCCCCCCCCCCCCCCTGTCGTCTCGCGATCGTGTTTCTTGGCGAAGGATTTCGTCTTTGCGAAATTCTAGTACAGAGTACAAAGGAGGGAGAGGAAAGGTCGGAGGAGAGGTCGGCTGATCAAAAGAGGGTTCCCCCCAAAAGAGTCTTCGAATGTTAGTGGATTGAAGATGAGTCAGCAAGTTGTGCTGACATGTCCTGCCTGCTTGTCCTAGCAAATTACATATTTGGTACCTGCCGTTACTTCCGTCGACGGAACTGGAAGCTTTGCAACCGGAAACTTAGGTAAGGGGATTAGTTGCAACAAAATCTGTTTAGGTGCTAACCCTGCAACATTATTAGCACTTAAGTGCCATCGGGTGCAATTAACCCAACCCTGGTTAAGTCGACAGATGGCCCACCACATCAACGTGCTTGTTTATACGGGCCTATAGCTTTGGGCTATGTTTGTTCGTAGGAGGCCTCTGGTACTTTTTACCCTCCACGCGGTTAGGTTGCTTCTATGTTGAAGGTCTTGATGAGGTTACCAATCCAACAAAATGAGTTGGCTGCATGCACTGCATTCAACTTCAATGGGCTCGATCTATAACTTTCTCCCAGCAAAGTGTAGAGGTTAAGTTATGGATTATGCTTATTTTCGAAAAGATAGCATAGAGCTGCCTATATCGTGGCATAAAAGTCCTATTATTGTCGGACCTGCAAAAATCTTTTACTTCTTATTTTTATGATTTGACATGCAAAAGTGGTGTATATTGTCTTACTATGTAATATGGCTATATGCTCTTCCCTTTGGGAGGCAGCAGCAACAAAGAAAGAAAACCCTTATCTTCTATCTTTCGTGGGTGGGTTTTGCTGACAGACAGTTCCATCCCCTTCCCTCTTCTCCTAACAACCCCACCACCCATCAATATTCACACGCGTCACGCCCCACACCAGATTCAGATTGGGAGCCGCCCCTCAGCGCTCGCACATGCTCTGCCCCGCCCTCATATCAGACTCTGACTAGTTGTATTGTATTGTAGTTGTAGTTGTAGGGGACCATCCCTTCCCTTCCCTTCCCTTCCCTACCAACCGCTCACTCCCCACTCCCTCAGCAATTGGGGAAGCATATCACCCTCGTCCTCCACATACAGAGTTCCATATGGGCAAAGGGATGTAAAGGCCAATTTTATATAACAAATTTTTTTTAAAAGCTGCCACGATGTAAGAGGCTTTACTTAATAAAGCCCACTACTACACCCATGTATACACTTAACTCTTTAGAAAAGCTTTACATCCATTCCAGGCAGGGGAGGCAAGGGACTAAGAAAACCAATCCTCTATTTACAGCAAGGATAGATGAAAACTGCAATGCTACTTACTAATCATCACTGCTTCAATCAACCCTATAGCAGCGGGCGGGGGAGTGGGAAGCCATTACACTTACACATCATTCATTTTCCTCCTTTTTTGCTTGCTTTTGCTTACCCTACTATCTTAGATATATATATATATATATATATATATATAGAGAGAGAGAGAGAGAGAGAGAGAGAGACCATTGGAAACTAAACTCCAGAAATCGTCCAAAACTGGATTTTATACTGCTCCATCTAATTACCCACTGCTACCTGCCTTCCCTTCTCAAAATGCTCCTCCACCAACTAACACCATCCATCAATACTATTCATAATATATATCAGCAGCCCCAAAATCTGCAACCACAACACCAAAACAAAACACGTCATGATTTCATTTTAGCTCCGCACCTACTGCCTCGCATAATGCATTTGTGATCCCAAAACCCACCTATCGACTGAAAGAACTCTGCTTTCTAGCAGTTGTCCGAGCCAGACGGCAACGCGCATCCACCCGACTGCTTCATCTCCCCGCCGCCTTCTCCATCAGAATTATTGCTGCACTTCGGATTCAAGCTCCCTGGATTCATCTTCTGTACTTCTTCCCTGGTGTAGATGAAAATCTTACGGACCATCCCAACAAATTCCCTGTTGTTTAATCACACAACATCTCAGCATTAGTTCCTTAACCACAAAAGATGTACACAAAACTAGCATTCTCTTCACATGCGACGCCCATGATATACAGGTAAGAAACACGTACTGCCAAGGGTCATCTCCAACAAGCATCATGTCTCCCTCGTCATCAGTGTACACAATCATCCAATTCTGCTTCGGGTCATCCAGTTCACCACCAAATTCAAACAAGCGGTCCAATTCAGATATCAGTTCTTCATAGTTGCTGAACTTGCTCAGATCAACTGATCTCCCCAAGGCAATCCCCTGCTTGTGAACCTGAAGCAACCAACCTTTTCAATTCAGCTTCACTTTCAAGCAAAACACTACCAGACAAGCAAAATTTATATATTATATTTATAAACATATGATACCTTGGTACAACTCCTAGTTGAACCACTTTGCGACTTCCCAAGATTGTCTCGTGAATGGCCCTGTTGTAATCGTTTCTCGTGCTCGCTGTCATTAGTTATTTTGCAACTCCTTGATTCCGGCTGATCAGCATCAAGTGGATGATGATGTTGACTAGCCTCATTTCCTTTAGTATGGCAAACCGAGTCATTCGTAACTTTCTTATTAGGCGAAATGGCTGCCTCGGGAACCAAAGAGTTACCAATGAGAGGAATGCCAAACAGCTTGCAGTTCCCATCAGTGGACTTCCCAGGCTCTGGTGCCAGAATATTCTTTGATATCATTTCTCTTGATTGGGGATGATGATGCTCAAACTGAGATGATGATGGCGGAGGCATCAACCAGTTCAGATGTGACTGGTCAGCTCCCCTAGCATACTCACTAAATGCACTGTATCTAAGGTTTGACCGCACTGGATGATGACCTAAATAATCACTACCTTGTCCTGAAGCTTTCGTGTTGGTATCCGACATCTTGAGTGAAAGGCTCGATGACATCAAGGACCATGAATCACCAACCAAGTTGAATTTCCCATCCTGATCTATAATTGCATGCTTCCTCACAGGAACAGAACTTCGGTCAGCGAAGGTTGAAGAAGAATAACCATGTTGGGAAGAATCAGCAGCATTTCCAGCAAAGCCAGACAGCAAATCTGTGTAAGTTGGCTCAAGCCTAGCAGAGGGCATCCAGCTCTCTTGTCCAGTTCTTCTACCAGTAGAAACCATATCAACCTTTCCATCATCCACAGACAGTGGCCACATAACAGACTTTTCAGCTGTTTCCGACTCGTTACTCTCGGTAGTGAAATTGCCTCTCGAGGTCACGAATTCTTGACCTTGCAAGACCCTCGCATATCCACCAGCTGGCAGAGCAGGGTCTGCAGTTACTTTGGATGAAACTGTCCATATCAATAAAAACAACACTTTCATAAACCCAAAACTGAGACATACATTAAGAACAAAGAAAAAGAAGTTGAGAACAGCGATAGGAAGTGGTGAATCAGCAAAGTCTAGGTAGCATGACCAAACCTTCTCTAGAGAGCACACAAGAATCAGGTGATGAGGGGACAATATTTGTTCGGGGTCTTTTTGGCCTCGGCATTGGGAGTTGACTCAGAGCAGGAGGGGCCAAAGCAGGTTCTATTTGCCAGGGAGAAACTCGTTCAGGACGAGGTATGGTCGAAGTCTCATCCCATCTCACCTGGAATCACACCATCATTTGAGCATCTTTTCAAGTACGATAAAGAGAGGAATCAATCAAAAAGTCATTGATCCTACTTTCAGGCATCTCCATTTCGACTCTTGCCACCTATTTGGGTCAGCATCTTCAATCCCAACTATTGTCCCGGTAAATCTGCCATGAAAAAGAGCCACGCAAATAAGCTGAAGTCCTCCTTAGACTTGCAACCAACCACCATCAGGCCAGCCATCAGATTCCTGGTTAAGTAATAGAACGAAAGAACAAAGGAGCAACATATACCTTTGCTCGGGAGCTTCTTCTCCTTCAAACCTCATTTTAAACCTCATGCCAATGGAATAGTTGTTTTTTACTGAGTCCATGTACTGATCGAATGGGACAATGAACTCTGCTGGACTTGTCCTGTAATAAGACATTAAAATTACCACCTCAATAGAAAAGCATATCACTGTCAAGATTAGAAAATCAATACCACGAGATAATGAACGGGTACACTCAGATCGCAATGTCTGAAGGACTACCAGAAGAATCAAGTCACCTACATACCTTGGTTTATAATACACAGTGAACAAGGTTCCAGTAGAAATTGCATGCCAGGCTGTGGCTAGAACGCCCAAATGCATGCTGTGACTGGAGATCACAGAGGAGGGGACATTTCCTTGCTGTCTCATTGCGCGCCTGACACCAACACGGAGCTCCCCATTTTCGCCTCTGGAAGACAGATCCAAAAGTCACAACACAACATGTTAATTGCAATTACAGAGCAAACTGAATGAAGACATTATTGATGGATGAAGATGACTCCAGACCTTAGAAATATGAAGGCATCACCAGCAACCAGTCTTTTAGAGCTAACAAAAACACTCCATCCACTTTGAAGCAAATGCCTACGAGGTTGACCTAGCATACACGTTTGAAGATAGATTCAGAAGAAAAAAAATTAATACTGCAAAAGCAATCAACCACTACACAACATTTGAACAGGAGTAATACATATTGCAATATGATGGCCTATGCATAGCAATAAGTGACACTTTCTTGCAAACACTGGTCTTCAGATATGTAATCATGCATGGAACAGCAACTGCCAAGGGAAACTTTAGTTTACACGTACAACAATTGTAGCTCAATGTAAAAAGATACCTCGAAAAATATGACGGAAACGCCATTCAATGCCATGTAGATCTTTGGCAACCAACTCCTGGGTTGGAGGTTGTCTCGACATATCCTGCATTTTTAGAAAGGGTAAAAATGCATAACGATGCAATTTAAATTAATACAAAAGCCCCAGGACTTGCAACGCAATCACACACCAGTGGTGGCAGACACTCATCAGCATGCCTCCTAAGCACTGAAAATCCACCATGAGTGCTGGTATCGGATGCAGTCAGGGTCTTGCAAAACGAGTGTACATGAAATCTCGGAGGAGGAGGCAGTGGTGACTCCTTCTTCACTGCATTCTCATCTTGCTGATATAATAACAAAGAACAAAAATCAGATGCCATTATAAAGCAAAATCCCAAAGAAGAACTTCTCAGAAGTGGCAATGCACAAAAAGTCCAAACATCACTTACACTAGCCTCCGGCAACAAGGTCAATTGTGCAAACACCTCATCAGTGTCAGGTTCGGCCTAATTTCACGAAGTGCATCGTTAGCAGAAAGAAAACAAGAAATCCAAACTTGGAAAAATCAACCTGATACACAATGATATAGATAATGGTCTTACCTTAAGCTCAACATTAAGCACACGACATAGGATCTTTGACGGAAGATTATACAGTGGCATCTGCTGGTCTGCCCCCTGGTTGGTGGACGCCTCGACCTAAAGCCATAATTGGATCAGTGAATTTGAGCAACTCATGGAATAGAGAAAGTGATAAGGTAGAAAACTAACTGAATTTGAAAGTACAAGCATAGACAGACTCCAGAATAAAATCATTCAAAAACATCAAACTATAATCAGAAAATCACAAGAGTAAAGAGGGTTTCAGAGAGGGCTAGCGCGGAAAGTGAAATCAACCTGCTCGATGTGTCCCTGAGGGAAGTAGAAAACAAGCTGTCCTTTACGAGGAACCATCACCAAAGGACCAGCACAGGCATGCCATAGCTCCTTGTACAGCGCAGCCTCAGCGTCTAAACACGATGAACACAAGAAGAAGAGAAGAAGAAAACAACCAACAGCGAAACCAAATTCAATACGAAAATCGACGCACTGATAAAGTAATTTTACAGGATAAGGGAAGAAACTAACTACTACAGGAATTTACCCATGGGAGCACTGGAATGAGCAACACCTCCTTTCTGACCATCCATAGCTTTCCTACCGTCGTTAGACTCGCTGTAAGCAGAAGAAAAGCTCTCTACTCTGACGTTCCCACTGTTACCTTTCATCGAAATCTCAGAAGACGCCATAAACGAAACTGGATGACTCCCACAGGCTCAGATCTCTTGAAAATCAGCTGAAATTTCCATACTAATCCACCATCTCCGGCCTTTCAATGTCTCCAGCTTCCGATCGGAGCAACGAATCCCCCCCACAAACAACAACACAATCTCAGAGAGACCAAAAAATCAACGCTCAATTGCACGGAAAATCTTCTCCAGCTGTCTCTCGCTTACTCTCGTCGCCTTCCTTTCTTACTTCTCTATCTTACTGCAACCACCGCAGGTTTTGTGTTGAGCTTAGCAATTCTCTACCCCTTCTCTTTCTTCTTCTCTCTCTACCCCCCTTCGCCTCTTGTCTCTCTCTTCTCTATCATTCTCTCTCTTTGTCTGGGGGAGAAGCCGAGACTTAACCAGAGTGGTCAAAACTACGGGCAATCATTTCAACCACGGTCAATTTCTAACCAGTCTCCTTCGGCTAACCGGCATTCACCGGTCGTATTGACCGCCTAAAGCCGGTGGGTTGTGGCGTCAGAGGGGTCAGGGATCAGATAGATATATTAAATATTTTACCCGGGAAAAAAGAAGACAGATATATATATTAAATAAAGGAGGCGTCGTAAGGGAGAGACCACAAACAGCGTCAGCTTCACCGTTAATGTATCCGTCGACTGCCCATTGGTTAGCCTTCAGCTACGTTTATATCACTGGTAACGCCGTTTGTTTCCCGACTAGTCGGAGGAAAGCTGTTTTGTTTTTACGGGGAAAATTGGCTTTGTCGTCCTTACCGAAAAATAAAACAAAAGAAAATCGCTTTTTCGTGCTTTGTACTGTTAAAGATGATGGGGTTAGAGAGACAAGGGCGGTTACTGCCCATGACCCGTCCTTACGTTGGATTTCCCTTCTTTTTTTTGTGAGAACCTACGTTGGATTTCTAATGCAAGACAGGAAGAGTAATACAAAACATTTACCAAATTCTACATCTAATAATTTAATTATGTCTATTTTTTATCTAAATTTTTTTCAGATTCTTTTATATTATTCAAATTTATCGAAATACTAAGAATTAGCCAAATGTTAACTTCCAGTTAATAATTTTGTTAGTAATATTAACTTGGAATTGAAAACATGATATTGACTTGGAAGAGACTCATGAAGGTCAACATTCCAAAATTTTAATATTTTAACTAAGAAAAGAGTTACAAAATTATTAACGATAACATAAAAAATGGCTAATATTTTGATGCATTATGAAAGATTTGGATAATTAATAGTATTTCGATAGGTTTGGATAACATAAAAGAATCTGAAAAATATTTGAATAAAAAATAGACATTACCCAATAATTAATTATTCAAACTCTATCATTATTGTTGAACCTAGTTAAGTTAATTGTGTGCCGTTTAAGTTGATGGGAAATAAATGGTGGAGGATTTGTGATGAAACCATTTCGAGTAAGGAGAAAGTTGAGTTTATGTTGTTGATTTCTTTTGATAATTAAGGTGTTTAATATTTCGTTATGTGATGATTGATGATCGATAAAGGGATTGTCCACACTCCATGAATTGGATTATTTATGACGACATTTATTTTGAACAACACCAATTCTACCACATGAAATTATCGAAATTGACTTGCCACCATTTATAAAAACAAATAAAGTAACGATAGTGAGGTAAATTATTCTTTAAAATAATAAATTCATGACCCTTAAATTCATAAACAAATTCAATAAGCAAACAAACTTTTTATATTCATAATTAACCAAATCAAACATAACTATTGGTTTCTAAAACCTTAATTCTAACCAAAACTCTCATTTTTCAAATCCAACAAGCAAATTACCTTTAAGAAATTTATGTGTTATATTTTACATTGTTTGATTTTTTTTATAGTTATAGTACTCAATAAGTCATATTAATTTTATGATAAAGTGTCAATTTTATCATTTGTTTTTAATAGAAAAAGCAAAACATATATAAAAAGTTAGTGTTTCAATCAAAATAAGGGGACAAGAACGGTAATAAAAATTATCTTGAGGGTTCTTATTCGGGCACCTTCGTTCGATCTCCTCATGTGTGGAAGAACTGGCGAAGAAGGTGAGGGAATAAGAGGGATGGCCCCCTGATTTACATTCCGACTCTCAGGTTACTAGGAGCATTATATAATATGAGTTATAAAATGTATATGAAATTATAGAGAAATGAGTGTTAGAGCGAGAACCATATATGTTGAGAATGTGGGAAGGGAAAAATAATTCATTAGTTTGGAAGCTTCAGAGTCCTTGTACAGGACAAGGGCTCCCTTGGTGAGAAGTCTTGTAGTGGGCTTGAGCTATAGGCGAGGTGTTGTGCAATGGGCTTGTGCCTACAAGTGAGATGGAGTTTAAGTGCTTACTTTGTTAGTTGTTTGTATCCCAAAAATTTCCAATTTTTTTCTTGTAGTATGTAAGGATGGAGGGAGTAAAATAATGTATTAACCAATAATAATTTGCTTTACTTGTGATTCCATAGAGTGTGTGCGCGCGCGTTTGCCCCTAGGAGAAGTAGGATTGGACAGTGATGCCTTTTGATAACTTGCATAGCTCCTCTAGTCAAAACTACTCAAGTAATTGAGTCTTCACCCATCAACCTTTAGTTATGTGCTTCACCTACACGATATGACCTCACGACTTGAAACTTTTGACTCAATGCATTTGATAACGTTGTTGAAAATCATATGTGTCAATTATTTATGCAAGCATGGCATATAAAATTCTCCTATTTTGGCCTGGTTTTATTGGCAATAGAATCCACTCCTTATAAAGTTAGGGTACTTAGCTCTAATTATGTTGAAGAGGTAGAAGGTTCGATTTGATTTTCATTCTCAAGTTTGTGCAAGCTTCATTTCAAGGGGGCATGGTTTGTTTCCCATGGTGGGAGCTTCATCTCAAGGACGCGATTTCATTAACATGGTTGTGGGAGCTTCACTTTAGGGGGTGGGATTTCATTCTCATGGTGAGAGCTTTGCCTCGGGGGGTGGGATCGATTACCATGGTTGTGGGAGCTTTGCCTCAGGGGACGTGATTCTTTGTCATTGACACTTTGTGCATTTGCTACACAAGTTAGTGGAGAGTTTCAATGCAATTGATATCATTGTGAAAAGTTAAATGTACCCATGAAAGATGTAGACAGTGTGACTGACTTGCTTGTACCGTCACACTAGAAAATGGCCAAGTGTAACCACAAACTAATGCGTAGTATAGCGGGTTTACCTTTATTTGTCAACCCGGGTCCTAGATTTGATAACTACTCCATGAAGTTCTCGTTATCTAGCTATTTAAGTGTAGTGAAGTTGTAACTAAACTAAGCAAACACAAAGAAGTAAAGTTGTGATTCAAGTTCGATAGAGGTCACCCAGATATGGTTCCCCCTAGATTGCAGTTAAGCCGAGTTGTATTCACCAAGTTCAGATTTAATGATAATTATACTGAGAAAGGTTCTTACTTAGTTTGAAGTCTCGACTAAAGGTCTTCAGACCCTCCCAGTCTGAATACCCGGCGGGCAACTAACCTCCACCGGAGTAAACGAACTGAGGCCCTAACGTGCAAACCCTCCTCTACTAGAGTAAATCCAGTACATAGCAGTGAATTGACTTCTTGACTAAAGTAGTCGATTCACCACCTTCAATCAAGAGTGCTCTATCAACCTAGGCAGAGATTCTCTTTCTAGGTCAAAGCGGAAACTACAAGAATGTGATCAAGATTCATGCAATTCTGAATTCATGCCTCAATTGAATATAATCAATATCAAAATATCATGTACTTGGGTTCATACAACCAAAGCTAACATACAAATCTAGGGTTCTTCATACCCAGGTGAGAGGTGGGGTTTACTCCGTAGAGAGAGAAGAGAAATAAACTTCAGATGCAAAATTCATCTTGGGGTTTACTCCTTTTCCTCAATTCGTGTGGATGGTCAATGAAATTAAGGGGGATCGGAAGCTTTGTACGTGCCCTTAAAAACACATCTTCGAGTAGGCAAACCGTTCAACGAGTGGAATTTTTACTTGTACTAAAGACGACTTAGCTTCTCCTTGTAGGTCTACCCCACTAAGGATCACTAAAATCTTTCAAAATCCAATTTTGTGCAATGAACGGTGCCACACACATTGGGCTTACCCCATGTTTAAAATTTCAAAATTTTGACATGGAGGACCAACTGCTTTGTCATTACGCACACTAAGCACCCTTCTAAGAAACATGTGTCCACACACAACACAGAGAGAGTCATCGATATCACATGCATCAAAGGTCCTAAATCCACTAGTTCACACAATCAAACGGCACAACAAAAAGAAAAGTAGGAAAGATTTTATACTTCAGCATCCTCTACCCCCTAGGTTGTATAGTACTAGAAAGACTGTCAATTCAAAGCATACTGAACCGGCAATTGCAAGGAACACGTAGTTGGAGCCCTCAAATCGAAATTTGGATAGTGGACTAGGCCTCAAGCACACAAGCACAACTGAGCAGTCAAATATAAACACCCCCCCCCCCAACACACACACACATTTAAGATCGACATTGCCCTCAATGGAGAAGAGGGAAGGATAAAGGGGAACAATGTTACCGGGAAGAACAGACCGCATCAAGACTGGAGAGTGGAGCAGTCAGGAGCGGAGGACTGGAAATGAGACTAGTCGGGGCAAGAACACGGGTTAGAGCAGAAAAACAACCACTCAACAAAGTCGTTAGGTAGAGTTGTCAGCCCAATGGCACAATATCCAAAAGAAAAACAAACCAAACACAACTAATCCAGTTTGCACTCCTTCCCAAACAAGACAAACACAGATAAGAGCCAGCGAGTATAACCTACTCGAGGCGCTCGAAGTTGATGTGCCCATGAGGTCGTCAAAGTCCTCTGGTGGAGGAGGCGGTGATGCCGGAGAGTGCTCCCACGGAGTCATCTAGTGGTGCTCTAGGTGGCAAGACTGGAGCAGGTGATGCTGGTACTCCATCATCCGTCGGCCACGGACCCGCTCCCGCTTGATATGAGCCAGGATGATGCTCTGCTGAGTCTCGAGGCGGTCGATACGTTCATCGTAGGTAGCCATGCGGGCGGCGTACTCAACCTGGTGGGTTGTGTACTGTTGCTGGAATTGGCGTTTGTGATCCATGAGCTGCTGGTTCTAGAGACCGAGCTGCTGAAAGTGGAGCTCCATATGGTGGAACTAAGTGAAAAAGTCCATCGGTGGAACAAAAGGACCAGAAGAGGACTCGCCTCGCTCGGGTCTCCGTCAGGGAGGAAGGTCCCCAGACGGGGAGAGCGGGGGCTCTAGCTCGTCCTCATCTATAGCCCCACCATCATCCTCGTCGTCATCCTCTTCCTCCCCAGCATAGTCATCATCGTCCTTATCATCCGCGTCCGCAGCAGGGGGTAGGGAGAGACTGTCGACCCACTCCAGACCGTCAGCAGAGGTCAACAACAGGGCCTTATGAATCACGTCCCTATTGACGGGATGAAATCCATACTCCTCAGTGGATTCGGTTAAACCCTCAAAGCATATCCCAAAGTGGCTCCAGACGGGT